CGCTTTTTCAAGCGCTTCTCACTGGATCTCGTGACCGAGGCCGATCAGAGTAAACGCGTCTGCTCTAGTGAGCTCGCTCGCGCTGCCGTTTGGACTTTGAGCCGAGCGGATAAACAGTCCGTGAGGCGCGTGCGGTTCAAATGAGTTCCGCTTTTGGCGCATACACATTATCAAACATTTATCGAACTCTTGATATACTTTTTTCAGGTAGGTCTAACATTATACAGGTACAGAAACTGAAAAATCAAATGTCAAGCAAATGCAGAGCTAACCTTGTTAAAGCTACAAAAGTTATTCAGTCAAGAGCAGTGAGTGATTTTCTCTTTGTCTTGTGTTGTTTGATTTAACAGTAATGGAAGACAGCAGACGGTTTATTAGACTGCTGTCACTTTAAGACCGAAGGCACAGATTCAATATGATACACATCTGATTTCTTTCTCAGCTGTTTATGTTCTCTTAAGACATAACTGACAATGTTTACGAGGTTACTCGACAAGATGGGCATTTTGACATCATTGTGTGTGTATTTGTCTGTTGAAGTGCAAGAAGACATGAAGGAGAACTCAATTCTGTGATTGTGCGCTGTCTGAGATCCAGCTCTCTGTGTGTGTGCACAGAAAACAGCGTGCAAGTATTGAATCGAGTTTTCTTTTGCGTACAAATAAACTTTCGTCACAATCCCGATCACTAGCCCGATCAATTCAGTCAACTGTCCCAAGAGTCTTTCATGCTGGCTGTAAACATTGCTTTCAGTTCCCTTCAGAGATACATTCTTGTAATTCATTCATTCCTATGTAATTTCCCTCAGCGCTCTTGTAAAACCTCTCACTGCTTTCTGCCGGGGTTTCACACAGAACCTATGCTGCGCCTGCGTGAGACTGTTGTTAACTTGCTTAAAGCTGGACAGTATTTACCTTGAGTTTTTCAATCGCTGTAATCAAATATGGTTTTAATGATAATTAAAACATGAAACTGTAATACTAACCATTGGGAATTTCATCATGATTTATCGTCAAACGTAACCGCTTCATCCCCAATATATATATATATATATATATATATACACTGACGAGCCAAAACTTTGACCACTCATAGGTGAAGCAAATTTCGTTGATTATCTCCTAACAAGGCCACATGTCAAGGTCTGGTTAAATTATATGGAAAGCAAACAGGTTTTATGGGCCTACAACTGGGTCATAGCATCTCTGAAACTGCAAGGCTTGTGGGTTGCTCCCGATCAGAAATGGTGAGAACCTACAGACTGTGGTCTGAGGAGGGACAAACCACAAACTGGCGACAGGGTGTTGGGCTCCCAAGGCTTCTCGATACGCAAGGCCAATGAAGGCTATTCCTTCTGGACCAGATTGACAGAAGGCCTTTTTGGCACAACTTGTAACACAAAATTTGAATGATGGAGGAATGTGTCACAACACACAGTGCATCGCACTCTCCTGCATATTGGGCTGAGTAGCCGCAGACCAATCAGAGTGCCTATGATGACTCCTGTCCACAGCCGAGAATGTGTACGTGTGCACTGTTTACCTGGGGAAGTGATGACACCAGGATGCACTGCGGGACGACATTCATGTGGACGTAAATTTGACACATGCCACCTACCTAAACATCGTTTCAGTCCAGGTACACCCCTTCATGACAATGGTGTTCCCTGGTGGAAGTGGACTCATTCAGCAGGATGTTGCACTCTGCCGCACTACACACATTGTTCAGGACTGATTTTTAGGAGCATGATGAAGAGTTCAAGGTGTTGCCATGGACTCCAAATTCCTCCAATGTCAATCTGATTGAACGTGTGGGATGTACTGGACACACCAGTCCATTGTGGGTCCATCTTGGACATGAAGGATCTGCTACTGATTTCTAATGTGCCAGATACCACAGGACACCTTCAGGCGTCTTGTAGAGTGCATTCCTAGGTGGGTTGGCTGGACACAGAGGACCAACATCCTATTACAACATAGTGTACTGTCATATGGTGCTTTTCCACTGCTGGTACGGCTCGGTACGGCTCAGTACGGTTCGGCTCGGCGCGGCACGGTTCGGATCGCTTCGCTTTTCCACTGCTTGGTACGACTCGGCACGGCGCGGCTCGCTTTAGCTCGGTTTGCTTTTCCACTGCAGATAGTACCGCTTCAAAGTGGGTGGGATTATAGTCGGACCGTTATAGTTTATCCGCTCCTCGGCAACCAACGAGACGAACGTCTGCACTTCGTCCACTGACCACGATTCAGCCATTTCTTTTTTATGGAAGTTTTCTTTCTTTCTTTTTTCTTCAAGCAAGTCAAGCAAGTAGTTTTAAAACAGGTGCTACAGCGGTGGCTGTTGTCCACTGGCTATTTAAATCTAGTGGGTTTAGTGTCTCGTGTCGCAAATACAATGACGCTGATAGTGACGATTCTATCTGTCTGACCAATCAGTGATCTGTAGTGTTTTCACGTCACATTTTAGTATCGGTACGGTACGCTTGGAACCTCAACAGACCAGGTACCATTTAAAGCGAGCCGTACCGTACCGTACCATGTAGTGGAAATGCGCCATAAGTGAGCCGTACCGAACCGAACCGAGCCGTACTGTACCATGCAGTGGAAAAGCGCCAATAGTGTCTTTGCTTATCAGTGCTAATAAATATTAGATGGAAAAATGTACATTTTTGAAACTTAACTGAAAAGTAGAAATGTTGCCTTGGCAACTAACTAGTAATTAAGTTGAAGTACTAAAATTACAAAAACTGAAATAAAAATGGGCTATATAGAAATATAAAAAACACTAATAAAAAATACGAGAGCGTGTAATAAAATTTTAACTAAAATTAAAACGAGCTAATTTAAAATGTTCAAATACTATAACAGGAATAACACTGGTTGTGGCCCACAAGTTGGTGGTTTAAAATGTGAGGATTACAAAAAAAAAGAAAGAAATAAAAGTATATATTAAAGGGTCACTTCACCCATTTGCATTAAGGTTTGTATTGTTAGAAACCCAGTTATATATTATAATGATGGTGGAATTTTGCTTGTTTTTTTTCTGAGATGGGAGAAAAAAGGATTTAAGTGTTTTACTTCCGTCCTATCGTGACGTAAATATCGTCATTTTGCGTCACGATAGGACGGAAGATAAATTTCATTGCATATTAAGAAAACTACAGCCTTTAGCTCATTATTATTCAAGGGCGTGGGACCCACTGACCCCACCGGCCTATTACAGATCAGTGGGTGGGACTAAACCTGAAGAAACTAAACTATTAATCCGCCATCTTGCTTGGAAGACAGCAAGCTAAGCTAACAAGCGCTCAAGGAGTTAGATTTACCATAATGCCTGAATTTACGACACACGATATGGAAGACGAGGATTTTGAAAATCTTTTGCTCGAAACTGATGTTCGTGGCTATTTATACGAGCCACAATATAGCGAAGAGCAGCTGAGGCTGATGGAGGAACAAGAGGCGGCTGCGTTGTTGTGGGAAGAATGAGACGGGAATCGGCGAACATTTACACATTTTAATAGTAAAATAAACAAATACAAAACAAAAGTATAAGCCAGCAGCCCCGCACTGCTGGCCACACACAACAGAAACAAAACACACCATAAAATCAGGCCTGTTCCTCTCTCGATCTGCCCTGTCGCTCCTCGTTTTATGCGTCCGCTCCTCGGTGAGAGACGCGAGAGAGACCCGTGCGTCTCACAGGTGTCGTTCATTATCACTCACGCCACCGGCCTCGCGCCGCTCTCACGTCCCTCGTCCTGCTCGCCACAGCCAACTAACTATACATTTTGTGTGAAATGAATTTCTAACTCTGTTGGCAGCTAACGTTAGCCCTGTAGAGTAGACGAAAGAGTGATTTCTCTGATGTTTGCGACTTTGCGCTGTTCTGGATTAGTGGGAGTGGCTTGCGGAGCTGTGCAACGTGGTGCATTCTGGGAGTTGTGGTCTTACACACAAATGCGCCCTAAAGTTATTTTCTGTCTTTTCTCGGTCAAGAGGGCACCAAATTCAAAATTTCTTTTACATTTCGACTACATATATGACCCACTTTCAATAAAGATTAATGTTGAAATGGGTGAAGTGCTCCTTTAAAGGGGTCATCGGATGCCCATTTCCCACAAGTTGGTATGAAATTTTAGGGTCTTCATGTAAAGTTTGTAACATATTTTGGTTAAAATTCCTCAAAGGTTGTGTAAAACAACACCCTTTTACCTCCTCAAAAACAGCTCTGTTCACAGCAACCCGTTTCGGTGCATGTCTCTTTAAATGATAATGAGCAACTGCTCACCCCACCCCTCTCTTCCATAGGGGGTGTCGACACAAGACACGTAAAGTGCTGCCTTGGCGGACAGTATACAAATGGCTGAGGGCGGAAATATGCTAATACGGGACAGTCCGTCAGTGGTCGTGGGCGGAGCATGAACGATATGACATCATATTGCTCAGAAAATCCAAACGGCTTGATTATTGAGAGTGTTTAGACTTTTTGAGGATTAAAAAGAGTGAATGGATTTTTTTCATCGTATGGTGGTTGTGTCCACACACTGCAAAGACACATTTATATGCAAACACCATATACAAGTGAATTTTGCATCCGATGACCCCTTTAAGCAAACTATAAGTGTATCCAGTTCTTTGTATGTTACATGACAATCAACAGATGGTTTTCATTCAGAGGTTGGCAGTACACACATTTTTGGAAAGCAGTCTTGGGTTAAGAGATCTTCTCAGATGCACAGCGATATTCTGATTTGAATATATCACCAGTATATGGTCATTTAGTCGACCAACGCCGCCCCCTTTTAGCCTGAAACCGCTAACTGTTTACATGACCCACTTGTGCTGTCCACTACCAAAGCAAACACTGTGCCCTTGAACAAGGCTCTTAAACCCAGGCTGCTCTAGGGTGATTGTACTGTCGTGATTACTTGCTTGTAAATATTGTGATGTCTTTTATCCCTGAGAAATTCTAACAGTCTTTCTTCTGTGTTTATGAAGAATCGAGAACTACAGATCATGAGAAAACTGGACCACTGCAATATAGTGAGGTTGCGCTATTTCTTCTATTGCAGTGGAGAGAAGGTAAAAACCTGTGACATTTGTTGCAAACCTCTATATTATGACCTCAAAGTGAAATCAATATGTACACTACTTGTAAATGTTTGTGTAATTCTTGAGAATTCCTGCTGAATTAGGTTGAAATAGTTAAAAAGATAATGGTGACTCTCTTCATTCTGATGGCCTGTTCTGTGGTTCTAGTGTTGTCTAATGGTCTTGTTGTGATTTTAAAGGGTTTATATCCTCTCCATAACTACACTACATGATAGAATGATACATAAATATTCATTTACACTACACTAAATGAATATAGATGCAAGGATTTTCTCAAAATAGTTTTGGCCATGTAGGTTTTTTTTTTTTTGACAGGTTATTATCTTTCATAATCTACAAATTTAATGTGTATTTATTCCACAGAAGGATGAGGTATACCTCAATCTGGTGCTGGAATACGTGCCCGAGACTGTCTACAGGGTGTCACGACACTTCAGCAAAGCTAAAGCCATTATTCCAATCTTTTATGTGAAGGTAAAGTTGACTGAACAAACATTCTCTAATACTGAGTCAATTCCTGACTTCTTAAAGGCAAAACAAAATCAAAATTCACATTATTTATTCTTTTAATAAATGCTGATGCCAGCAGCCATATCATCCTGTAGTCCAAGACTGGTTGCCCACTGAAGCTAAGCAGGGCTGAGCCTGGTCAGTACCTGGATGGGAGACCTCCTGGGAAAACCAGGTTGCTGCTGGAAGAGGTGTTAGTGAGGGGCGCTCACCCTGTGGTCTGTGTGGGTCCTAACGCCCCAGTATAGTGACGGGGACACTATACTGTCAAAGAGCACCGTCCTTCGGATGAGACGTTAAACCGAGGTCCTGACTCTCCTCATTGAAAATCCCATGGTTTTCCTTCAGAAAAAAGAGTAGGGGTTTAACCCTGGCATCCTGGCCAAATTTGCCCATTGGCCCCTGTCCATCATGGCCTTCTAATCATGCCCATACATACATCCAGGTGGATGCTGCACATTGGTGGTAGCATCCACCAACCCCCCCCTCTATGTAAAGTGCTTTGACTATCCAGAAAAGCGCTATATACATGTAACAAATTATTATTATTATTAATAAATGCCTTGGTCCTATTGTGCACAATTCGTCAGTTTGTCAAACACAAGCAGCTTTCAGTTTGACTGATATTACTACAGTTAGAAGAACTAAATTACTTGTGTAAAATTGTTGTGATCATGATTAATCAATTTAACTGTTTAGAGTTTTATTGGATTTCTTTTATAGTTTTGCTGTTGCCACTGTGGGAAAATCACTGAGACACACAGCTTCTCAAGGCTTATTGTTTTAATAATTACTTTTCACCACCTCTGACATAACCAAAGCCATATGGACAGGAAATAAATATTAGCTGACAATATCATAGCCTACTTTGTTTTATTCAAGATTTGACTGGATTGTGCAAAAAAGTCCCTCAGTCTACCGTACATTTCCTGTGTGATATTCTGTTTTACTTGTCACAATATGTCACATGAAATATGTCACAATGTTATAATGTATTAATTCATTTATTCATAATACTGTTAATAATAATAATATAACAACAACAAAAATGAAAATAATAATAATATTATTAATAATACTTTTATGTATATTTATGTATATTATTTTGGCAAAATGGGTTAAAATGTGGGGGGTGTTCAATTTTGCATTTTAAACGTTTTTTTTTTGTGGAAAAGATAAAAAAGAAATGCATTACATTACTTAATATAGATGCTTGGAAAATATTGTTTCATGATGTCATTGAATTTTCTTGAAGATGCTAGTAATAAAACTACACAGAATTTCTCATTAATCAGTCTTCATTAAGGAAAGATGGGGACTGATAAAGATCTTTATTTTAAAGAAAAAAGAAAGATATATTTTTGCTTACTTGCTTTTATTTTCTCTTAGGTGTATATGTATCAGCTTTTCCGCAGTTTGGCATACATCCATTCCCAAGGTGTGTGTCACCGAGATATCAAACCACAAAACCTTCTGGTGGACCCAGAAACAGCTGTTCTCAAGCTCTGTGACTTTGGCAGGTCAGTGCTGCGTGTGTGTGTGTGTGTGAGAGAGAGCACGAGCGAGCAGATAGATTTGATGGGTTCTCAAATGTGACCTTATGTCCGCCAGTGAAGATTATGTTCGGTTTTAATGGGTGTTACACTATTACAGTCATTGTATTTTGAGAGTGCACCTCTTTATAAGGGCGGGCCTTAGTTGGTGTCTAGATTTGATGTATATTGTCAATGCATTATCTCGCCCTCCCTGCGGCCTTATGTAAGGGATTGTTTCTGATTGGGTTGTTAAATACGTAAGCAAATGCCATTGTTCATGTTCTTTGACAAAAGCAATATGCATTGAGATATTGATGCTGATGGTCAGATTGTCTTTCTGCTTTGTCCCCCTTTTTTGATGGATTCTCATTAAAAACGGTTTCTTTTTCTGAGCTGTTTTTATGAAGAACACTTGAACTATTTGATGGCAGGCAGACATGTTGACCACTGTAATCCAGACCACATTTGTTTAATATATTGCAATTTCAAGTATTTATTTTTGTGTATGTTTAAGGCACTTGTTGGCATTCAAGTCATTGCATTTTCTTTTGTTTCTTTTGAGGGAACATGAACACTGGCTTTTGTGTCTGGAAAAAAAAAGTGGACAATTTGGCAAATGAAAAAGCTTGAAAATAGTTATTTGGCCGAGCATGCACATCAGAGTGGAGTAATTGCTTTGTTTGAAAGTGCATCTGCATGAGTATTATTCTGGAGCTGTTTTCCCAGCAGTTCTGTCATATGCCCTTTTTTTTTTAAATTGCAAAGCATTTAATACAGAATCTTATGAACAGCAGTGGTGCTGTGCACTTTTTGTGTGCCGGGATGGAGGAAGATTTTTTTTACTATTTTGTGGGGTTGAGCTTGTTTCAGTGTTTGTTTTATTGAGGATGTATAAATCTGTCATTTTTTCATACTGACTGCCTGATTAAAGTTTGTCTCATAATTCAAATCTGTCTCAGTGCAAAGCAGCTGGTGAGGGGTGAGCCTAACGTCTCTTATATCTGCTCACGATACTATCGCGCCCCTGAGCTCATCTTTGGTGCGACAGACTACACCTCCAACATTGACGTCTGGTCAGCTGGATGTGTGCTGGCCGAACTGCTGCTGGGGCAGCCCATCTTCCCTGGAGACAGTGGTGTGGACCAGCTAGTGGAGATCATAAAGGTAAAACTAACCCTTTAATTTTGATCAGTACTTTAATGGCTCGTTTCCACCGAGTGCTACAGTACAGTACAGTAAAAAGGCTGAAAAAGCTTACGATTTTCTGACGTTTAGCTCCACTCTTTAGTCCAAGACTACTGTGCTAGGTACCCCAACGGAAGGGTCCCAAAAAAGTGGTGCGGTACAGTTCGGAATTAGGGTACCATTCACAACTTCTGTCAATGGAAATGGCAAACATTGCAGACTGTACTGTACTGTATCGCTTTGTGAAAATGAGCCATTAGATTCAGTTCTACTATACATCATCAAAGGATACGCCTGGCCTTACGAGCTTTTAGGACCTTCTCCAGTTCAGAGTCTTTATACAGAAGCCAGAGATCCTTCACTCCACAACAGACCAGAAGTAATCCAGCCTTCTTACCAGTCTTTCTCCAGGAATATCTTTATTTATAAGAAGCCAGACCTGGGTATATTAGACCTTGATGAATGATGATAAAAACTTGGAGAACCTGGACATTAATTTGGGCATCTTAACTTAGACTCACTTTTGCACTATTCCTCCCTGGGATCTGAAAAGGCCAAATGTCATATTTATCCTGAATCAACACAAAAAGACAACAACACACCCTCATGAATATCGGCTGAAATCTTTGGAGTTAAGATGCAGTTTTCCTCTTCATAGACCTGTATTCACAGATGGATCTGAAGCAGATAAACATGAGTCGGCAGACGCATTAATTGGAGATAAATATCATGGCATGTGAATCCCAGGACAAAGTTCTACCCTTATAGATGAAGCTCGTGCTTCACTCCTGGCTGTAGAAATTATAGAAAATGGACAAGAACAAAATGTCTTAATCTTCACCGACTGCCTTCAGGCAATTGAATTAAATCATCATCCCATAATTAAAGTATAAATAAATAAAGTATATTAGCTAAAGTAGCTAAGAAAATCTTCAGTATCTTTTTCTGCTGAGTTCCAGGTCATATTGGTTTATCTGGTAACGAGAAAGCCGACATCGCTGCAAAGGAGGCTCTCAACTTGAATATTTCAGTGTCAAATTCAACCCTCTGATCTCAGACCAGTAATAAACTCTTATATTAATAAAATGTGGCAGATGGAATGGGATGAATGCCACGGAAATAAGTTACATGAAATAAATCCTAGTATAAGAAGAATGTTTTTTTTTACTAATTTCAAATCTAGGTGATCTTGTTTTTACATAGAAAACTTACACATGGCTATTTATTAAAAGGTGAAGAACCACCAGCATGCCTCCTAAAATGACTGTTAAACATATTTTAATGGACTGCACTGTGTTTAATGTAAATAGAGTGCCGAAGTGATGACGTCACTTTGTAGGACAACTCGGAAGCTAGCGGCGCATGGGTTCCCTCGATCGAAAAGCTATGCATTTTCCCCATAGACTTTTGGAAAATCGCAAAACATAAGATCTGTGTTTAACAAAGAGTTGTGACCCTTACACGTTTTGTCTATCAAGATAATCTTTACAAGTTAATCCAAAATTTATACATTTTGAAGCCTATATAAAGTTTTTAAAAAACACAAGCAGACACAATAAAGTTTAAAAAACCACAAGCAGGTTATAACTGTGTGTTCTATGTCATAGATCAAAACGTGAAAATATTTAGAGGCTTTGTTCACCACAGACCTTATTTCAGGCGATTTAGCAAAATCCCATTCAAAAATCCCATAGACTTTAGAGCGAGGGAACCAGGAGTGCTAAAATGCTAACTCACTTCCGCCTACAGAGTGACGTCGTAACTTCGGCACTTTATAGACAATGGTTTTATTCAGAGATGAGTTTAACTGATGTATTTAAAGTTTCACCTAAATGCAGGGGTGTGAAGTAACAAATTACAAATAATTATGTTACTGTAATAAGTACTTTTTATCAGAAATGTTACTTTTTTGAGTAGTTTAAAAATGTTGTACTTTTACTTGTGTACATTTTAAATGATGTATCGGTACTTTTACTCCGCTATTCTCCCTCTGTCTGTGGTCGTTACTCGTTACATGCTTGTTTTTATTTATTTTTATCCATCAACGTGATTGGATTGAGTAATCGGTCTCGTGACTGTCTTCAAATCAAATTCTGCATAGAAAACTTTAACCCCCAACCGCTTTTAATCATGGCTGCTGTGGAAGTGCATTCTTCAAGCATCAATTCAATCGAGATATGCAGCGTCTTCCTCTAATATGCTAAGGTACATTTCACATTTATGCGTACTGAATGATCTTTATATAGGCTGGCCTATCTACAGGGCCTGACATTTACAGCGTACAGTGTTGTTAACTCCCTCAAGTGCAACGTTCAAAATGAATGATTGAATGAAACATGTTTTTTTTTTTCAACCCAGCATTCTTCACAGTTGTTTCTGTCTGTCTGCTCAGGTACTTGGAACACCCACAAGAGAACAGATCCGTGAAATGAACCCGAACTACACTGAGTTCAAATTTCCACAGATCAAAGCACATCCATGGACCAAGGTAAAATCTCACACCCATATCTGGCTCATATTTACGGCCAAAGCCATAAGGTATCTGTTAGCAGTGTTACAAGACTGGCTTATAAATGTTCTTTGGACATTTGGCAAGTTTACTGCTTGGTCTGGTCAAGAACTGTTCACTTAAACAGGAAAAGACCAAATGACTGACATGTGAGGTAAAAGACTATTCTTGAATATCTTACAAAGATTTTATACTTGAAAATGTGTACGTACTTTTTTACTAGTGGATTGAGTAAAACATTTTTCCAGAGAGTAGCTAATGTCAGTGAGCTGTCTTTTAACTCTCCTGTTGTTTCCTCTTCGTTTCTCATTTCTTTTTTAATATAATTCCTCCACAGGTGTTTAAACCAAGAACTCCTCCTGAGGCAATAGCCCTGTGCTCTCGGCTGTTAGAGTACACACCAGTGACACGACTGTCCCCGCTTCAGGCTTGCGCTCACACCTTCTTTGATGAGCTGCGCCAACCTGGCACCCGTCTGCCCAGCGGTAGAGAGCTGCCTCCACTTTTCAACTTCACCATGACAGGTGAGTCACATGAGCCTTTCATGCGTATACTTTGGATCAAACTTCTCACCGATTACATACAGATGTCGTTCAAGTAATGCATCTCAAAACAGATTTCCATAAGACTAGTATCAGTTTTAGCCTGAGGCTCAAACAAGGACAAGGAGAACAAGGATCCGGATCAGGGCATTTAATCCGCCTTTTCTGTAATACCACCTGTGAGAATCACTTAATGCAGACATCAGAAATCCCGCCAGTGCACCCAGAGCATTTATTAAAATTAGCCTGCATTAACGGCTTGTTCAGAGAATCACACATTAATAATGCTTTTACTATTAAGCACTTTGATCCACTCTGATAAAAGGCAGTATAAATAACACGATCCATGTGTCATGTTCACAGTTTTACTGTTTTTACTTTTGATCAAACTAATGCAGCTTTGGTGAGCATAAGATAATTATTTCAAAAACTTTATAAAATTCTACCAACCCCAAACTTTTGAATGGTAGTGTTTTAAAATGCAAAGGAGGAGTTCGCTGTCATTATTTACTCCCCATCTTGTTTGTGTGCATGATGACATGTATGACGTGTTCTGTGCAGATCTGAAGAAGCTTATCAGATGATTTAAATGAAGTCTTTCTCTCACACAACAATGTATCGTATGACCAGAAGACTTCAGACGTAATCATTTAGACTACTTTGATGCTGTTACGGCCTTTTTGAAGCTTGAAAGCTTAATTTCCCATGGAAATTAATTGCATGAACAAGAGCGGCCAGTAAAAATCTCGTTTTGTGATCCACAGAAGAAATAAATTAATACAGGTTTGGAAAGACATGAGTGCGTGTAAATTATGACAGAATTTTCATTTATGGATGAACCGTTCCTTTAATTCTAAGGGTTAGAAAGCGGGCAGCAAATGGTCATGCAAAGCTAAATTACAACTAAGTCTGATGCTAGAAACCTTGACTAACATAATTGGACTTCAGGGAAAAAAATCAAATGCTTCAGAAGCGATTTGGAGGAGACTAGCTGCACTTTGCTCAGCTCCTACAAAATTATCCTATTGCTTTTCTTGGATTTGGTTTTCTTCGGTATTGCTTAGTGATACAGTGCTTCCCCATTTTATGGAATAGTGTGTTAATCGTTTCTGTTCCTAAAAGAGCATTTGATATGTTTGCTTAGTAGTTTGTTCCTCTTAGACATGTCAACAGAGTGTGTTTCTCTTTATTTCAGAGCTGATGATTCAGCCCCAGCTCAATTCCACTCTCATTCCACCTCATGCCCGTGCACAAACCGTAGCATCCTCCAACGGTAATGCTGTTATTCTTTTTAGTGATGGTCTGGGAGTGAATGGGGTTAAGCATTTAATGGGGACAACATTTTATGTTAATAAAGTCTTCCTGTTGTTTTATTGTGCATGATTCATCAGTGCTTTTTGTCTAATGAGGAAAATGCTTTCTTTCATTATCTTTCATGGACAATGTTCTTCTGAAATTAAATTCCTGATGTAGTAATGCCTTCACAGCGCATTTAACTCCTGTAACACCAGTGGTTCCCAAACTGGGGGTCACAGTTATGAAAAGGGGGGTGCGGCAAGGCCACAATTTTTTTTGTTGTTGGTACGAATATAATCTGAGGAATAATCACGGTTTCATGATTATTATGCATTAATTAATTTCACAACATTATAAAATCACATGAACACTCTAGATTTTAAAGTGTTATTTATTGCTGCCTTTTGAAACAGAAATAACAGTTACCAAACAATACAGCAAAAAATTATAATAAAAACAAACAAAAGTCCATCTCTCCCTTTGGAATTAAAGAATAGATCACAGAATTATTTAGTGTTTTCAGTTTGTGCATTCTTGTGCATACATTTCATTTGGACCTGAGGTAGAGAACTTGGAAACATGGTGAAAAAAATTATCTTGGTTTTTTTGGACTTAACAATAAATAATACTATAACAGGGATAATAAATTAAGTCATTTTCTCTTTGGAATTAAATATAAGCTACATATTAGCCATGTATTTCCCTTTTAAAGAAAACAAATGTAGTCAAAGGCTGCTTAACCTCTGTGTGAAAGGCTCTTTTGATAAACTATCTTTATAAGTTCACTGACTGGAGATGCTGCCATTAGAGACCTTTGTGAAAATGTATTAAAAAAAAATATGCTACCTTCTCCCGCTCCTCCCCCCGCAAAATTCATGTCCTGTTGGTGTTACTTTTTTCCCCTGTTTTGTGCAAGTTGCAACAGTTCAATTCTGTGCAACAGAAACGCTCAGTGTAGCGGAGCCTTTACAATTAATTATCCGTGACGTTTTAAAGCGAATAGAGAACCCATTATAATCAGTGATGCTGTCTACACTGGATGTGTGGCAGCTCAACGCGACAACAAATTACCGCCAGTAACCCAATCCCCCTTTCTATTTCTGACATACTCCAAGAGCTTGCGCAACTTCTGACACAAAATGACAATTTTTCCACCAAATCAGAACGTACACACTTAACATCAGTCAATCAAGCATGATATAATGATAATCACTATTTAATGATAGAACTTTACTAATTAGAACTAAAACTTGGTAACCATGTATGAATGCATGTTTGTCTTTTTAACAGAATTTAGGACTGGTGGTGGGGCTTAAGATATTGTTGGTCATTCAGCGAGTGAATTAACTGAAAAATAGATAGTAATTATTATTAAAATATAATACTACTACTACTAATTCTACTACTAATAACAATATACAACACGCTAAGGATTGATGAGCTGCTGGGTTCATGAATATTAATCACATTGTCAACTCTCAAGCGCTCAGTCAGTGTTCAGCGAGTGAAAATATATCTATGCTATACTTAGCCTATAACAGACTCTGGCAAGTAAAATCTAAGAATTTATTAGCCAATGGCTAATCATAGACATTATTTAATCGCCCAGAGGGAAGATTTAGTTCCATATGCAAGTGATTTACCCGCATTGTAGAGGGTTGTGACAGTATGAAGCCGAGCAAGTTAAGATGCTTAGAGACTACACATCATGAACACAAAGAGAAGCCCATTGCAGTTGAGAACTTGTATTACTGTTTTAATTACAATGTTTCAGTTGTTGCTTAATGTTTCGGGGCAGTTGTGGCCCATTGGTTAGAGAGTCGGACTTGTTAACCAAAGGTCGCGGGTTCGAGTCTCGGTACCGGCAGGAAATGTAGGTGGGGGGAGTGAATGAACAGTGCTCTCTTCCACTCTCATAACTCACAACTGAGCAAGGCACCTAACTCCCAATCACTCTCCGGCGCTGCAGCAAAAATGGCTGCCCACTGCTCTGGGAGTGTGTGTGTGTTCAATATTCAATGCTGTGTGTGCACTTGGATCGGTGAAATGCAGAGCACAAATTTAGAGTATGGGACACCATACTCGGATACACGTCACTTTTTTTTCTTTTTCTTTTTTTTTAAGGGTTATGTCTGAGAGTGTCTATGTGGGTGAATGTTGGTGTGGGGCTCGAAATTATTGTTTTATATTTATAATATTTTTTTAATATACAAAATCGGGCCTGGCAGAAAAAGTTTTGGAACCACTGTGTTACACTATAATTGAAAAGTTTTGGGGTTGGTAAGATGAATAATATATATATATATATAATTTTATTTTTTAAGGAGTCTCTTATGCTTGCTGAGGCAACAATATCGCAATCACAAGATCATTCAGAAATAATTCTAAAATGCTGATTTGGTGCTCAAGAAATACATTTTTTTTTTTTATCAATGTAGAAAACAATTGTGCTGCTTAATTTTTGTGGAAACCTGGGATTCTTTGCTGAATAGAAAGTTACTGACCCCAAGCTTTTGAAAGGTACTTGGATGTATTTTGTGTGTAAATATGGAGCCTTGTGTATGCCTATCATGCTGACAAATGTTATTTTTCAAAGTCCTCTTTTTGTTTTGTCCTCTCTCTTCTCTGTCAGATGGCTCTGAAGGTTCTGTACAGCCTGGATCTACTCTGACCAACAGCACCTGAGGCTGTGACTCAAAAAACAAGCTTGCACACCACAGCATCTGAGCCACCACAGTGCACATCTCTCCCTCTGACAAACACATACACAGTCCTACACCCTCTTTACCTCATAGACGGCTTCTCCTCCCTATAGCTCTAATTCACACATTTACAGACTGATTCAGGTGTCGCGCGCTTCAGAATTACCAGTGACTGCACGGCAGTCTGGAAAGCCTGATGTTTGCTGACTGTCTACTGAGAACCGTACTGTACACACACACACACACACCGACACACTGCCATGTACATGCAACAAACAACAACAAACAGAATTATACTGCTAATATTTGCTTCAGATAATAGAGGTAGTCAATATCGAGCCCAGAACGGCTGCGTAGGCCCGTAGCAAAGCTCACACGCATCCATAACGCAACACCACACGTGCTTTGGAGGTCAAATGCGATTGGTTCAGTGGCTAGGGGCAGGTCCTCTGTCTAATTTTTATCTTAATTTATTTAAATTAACATTTACAGTGGATGTTTTACCTTGATTTGTTGAGCAGTAACGCTCACTCATCCCTCTCAATCTCCCTATCTGAGGTATAATACATTTCGCAGGGAACAAGCAGTCACGGTAAATTATGTATCTTGTTGTAAATGTCAAGCAAAAGAGGCGGGACTAAATGTTGTGGGTTTTATACAGTTATTTTAATATCTTGCTTTTACCTTCCAGTAAATGTATTTATGGTTTTCAAATGCCGAATTGGAGGGACTTTTGAGAAAGCATCTGTAGACCTTTCCTTGTGGAACAAAGGCACAGCGAAAAAGAGATAGTTGGGAAACAGTTAAACGTTATTGTTGACCATAAAGAAGGGAAAGAATGATTGAGAGACGTATGCAAGACAATAGCATATTAATATTGTTGTACTGAAGTGACTTTATATTCCTGGGCATTATCATTAACTTTTAATGATGCTCCGGGTCTAGGCTTTTTAATTTATGCTTGTGAGATTACAAAGTCTTCATCCGTTCAAAGTCGTTTTTAAATGACATCAGGCCTGGAGACTGAACCATGCATCATAATTCAGTGTTTCAGAACGTTTCCTTTCTGTTTTAGCATTTCAGTCAACATCATTTTTCTGATCAATTAAGCTACTCTTATATTTAAAGGCCTTTGTGGTAGAACAGTTCTATAAAATGTTTTGTGAAATCTCCACACGAGTTTAGAATCGTAACGTTAAATGGTCTCAGTCAATCGTATCGATCCACAAAATGACCGCTATCTTTTCTTTTCTTGAGAACACGTGTTAGCTTCTCAATAAACCCTGTTCTGAGCCCCTCAAAAAGGCCCATCTTCCAACTCTCTGTGATGTTCATGCTATTCTCCTGTTCTGTTTCCTTTTTTTTGTTTTTGTTTTTCGTTCAGAGGGTGTGCTTTGACCAGGTTTGCTCCACCCATCTTTATGTAAATATACTTTGGTTTTTAAGCCCTGTGCAGGATGTAAATATCAACACTGTACCACTTTTGTGTTTTCATTGATGTCTTTCTCTCCCTTCATCTCTCTTGGGCTGTCTTCCCTTAGCTTTTGAAGATCTCCGCGTTCATTTTGTTTGTCATTTACAGTATTTATTGTTTTTGCACTGCAATGTTGGGGCTGAAAGTTTCACTTTTCTGTGAAATAGTAACTCTTATCAGCGTACTGTATGTCAGTTCATAAGCTCAGCACTTAGTTTGGGAAGGAAATGGAGTAAAACTTGAGGTGCATGTCCAACAGGGTCATGCTTTGTTCTCGACTTGGCGATTTGAGCACATTTTTGCAAAGGTGCAATAGAAGTCATGCTCTTACGGTCTGTTTTTCATGAAAAGGACGCTCTCTGAAGCGAATCAATTGCCTGAAATACTGTGGCGGTTTTGCAAATCTGGCTTGAAGCCTCAAAGACAATGGAATGTGTTTATTCTTTAATCTGACATCTGTGAATCAAGCCCACAGCAACATGTATGTGTGCTCTTAGAAAAATGTGAATTATTATAATTTTTTTTATATTCAAATGTTGGCTTTGAAGTTTATTTTCCTCCCCCTTTAAGGCTTGTTAAATGAATTGAGACCAGCCAGCGAAGTCTCTTCCCCTTCATTGCTCCTGTAATCCTGCCCTCCCCCTTGTCTCTGCCTTAAGCCTACCGTACAAACGTTAGCCTGTTATTACCTTTTTTTGGTAATTGTTGGAACTTTCTGCCTCAACGTTTCGGCCCAGGGGAATCGTGTCCTGAGACAAAGAGAGACGAATGGAGAGAGCCTGTCAGAATAAATTGAACTCATTTAATAAAGTGACGAAACTGAGATTTTAGAGGCAGTGCTGGTGTGTGTGTGTGTGTGCTGTGAGTGAATTGTAACATGCCTTACCTGTTTAACATTACTTTAAATGACCATCTATTTGAATTTATATATGGTAGGATCAAAAGTGTGAGTCCACATTGAACCTTTGTGATTCAAAATCTATTTGTTTTGAAGGTGTAAATATAAGTTTGGGTTCGTGAATATTAAAAATTAAGACATTAGTAATGGAAACCATTTGTATTAAAATAGAAAAATGTAAAACAGAAGCTTAATTTAAAGTAGAGGTCTTGAAACTCTAAACCCCGCTGAATGTGTAATATTCTGTGAATATGATGTCTGTGTGTTTAGAACAATATTTGTAATTCTATATTTGTTTTTATAAAAGTTAATTTGTTATTTAGCAGATGCTTTCTTGCCCAAAGCAACCTCTTATACAGGACAGGCAGTCTGGAAGTGACCTGGAGTGAAGGGATATGCTCCGTGGAATAAAAGAAAAAACAGTGAGTACAGTATTATATTATGACACAACCTTTTTGAATCCTTGTTCAGTTTGTACCAGCTTGTTGTATATTGTTACAGGCGGTGAGGCCATAAAGTGCTGCAAGGATGACATCAAAAACCGGAAGACTAATTCACCGCTGGTTCCTTCAAGATTTTCATATGGGTTTTTTTCCCCTTCAATTTATAAATAAAATAAGGTCTCTGGTAAACATAACTTGACCATACCACGATATTTTATTTCTTTATTCTCCGTTTGATTCTAAACTACTGTATTCTTCCTTTTGATTCTAAACTGAACTCAAATGGCACTGATTGATATGATGGACCGGTGTTTTGCACTAAATCCTGTGGTGGAGTTTGAGAGGGATTGACTGTGTCAAGGGAACACTGTGGTGACTAGTACAGATTACTAGTCTGGTACGGATTATCAAGAGAACACTGTGGTGACTGGTACAGATTACTGGTCTGGATTGGTACAGATTACTAATCTGGTGGGCTCAGATAATCCACAGTACTACTGAAAATCCACAGAAGAATACTGACCCTCATGGGTAATTTTAGAGTCAAAGTAAGATACACAGATGAGTTTTGACTTAAATTTTTTACTATTTTAATTAATTTTACTCTAATTAATTTTATAACTATCATTTATCTCCCATCAATTAACTGCTTTAATTCCCCCTGTTTTTATTTTGTCTATTTTCTATGTAAAGCTTTTGAATAACTGTTTTTCCTTGCTTTTATTTTGTGATTATTTCCTCTTCGTAAAGCACTTTGAATTGCCATAGTGTATGAAATGTGCTATATAAATAAACTTGCCTTGCCTAGCCATACTTGAACGTTTTGCTCTACAATGTAAATTACACAACCATATCGAAAATGCGAATTTTGAAGCTGTTTTTTTTAACCTAATAAGTACTAGATAAGACAGCTTTGGGTGAGTGTGCAGTTTACATTGTTTAAGAAAACGTTCAAGTATCGTCAAGTTATGTTTACCACAGGCCTTATTTTACTGATAAATTAAAAAACCCCATAGGAAAATCTCGAGGGAACCATTGGTGAATTAGACTTCCAGGTTTTGACGTCATACCTGCAGCACTCTTACATCCTAGATAGGTCCTTGTTCCTATGGATATTTGAAGGCTTTCTCAGACAGTACAAGATTACAACTCAAAGCAAAAGATGCCTTAAAAGAACTGCATACTATTGTTCGCTATATTTTGTTTTAATGTCATAAGAAGGCCTTTTGTAAGACGAAAACAAATTATAATCTTCATTGCCACTCCTTATAAGTTGTTGTTGCATGTTCAAACTATCAAGAAGCAAATCATAAATTAGTGTTTTCCGCACACCAAGCTATCATATGGCTTCAGAAGAATTTAAATATAGTTCATTTGTATTTTCTTTTTTTAAAATCATCTATTTGAAGCAGAATTTCTCATTGAACTATCCCTTTCACAATGCCACCAAATGCAATAATCTTTATTTAGTCTAAATAGTCCAAAATTGACAAAGCAAGGCCGTCATCTGCTTACAAAGAGTTTAAAAATAGTTGTTTTGCTTGGTGTTTTCCCTTCAAGCCTCAATCATTTTCAAACTACATTTTGAAAACCCCAGTGTTGTGAATGAGCAATAAAAACAAGTGCGCACCAGAGGGCATCATCGCACAAATATACAAAATGACGGGCAATAAACATGCTTCTAAATTCTGTTAATGGAAATGATTTTTGAGGAACCTTGTGAGTCTGAAACCCATCATGTGCCGCTGAACCCATCAAACCTTGGCCTCACGGCATGCATTAGCATGAGACGCTGATTATGTTAATAATTTCACCCACCTTTGGCCTTTTCAGATTATCACTGTCTGATGGGTGAGAGCCTTAAGAGATTGTTGCCTGGAAACAACCTGCGCATTAATTGCCAATAATTCTATGTAATCGGTTCAGAAAGATTGACTCGCTAGTGCTCGTCTGGGTGTTGTCAGTTTAATTAAATGGAATCCCAGGGAAAGTTTCACCTTCCTGGGGAAAACAGCCCATTTTCGCATTAGTATCGGCTTTTCTGTTCATGGGTCGTTGCATAGCCGTCAGGTCATTACTGCTGGTACTGATGCACTTTGAGTCACCCCATGATTTATCTGATACTTCGCATAACTTGTGTATTGCTTGTGCGGAGCAGAGATATCGACATCCAGGGGATTGTATTAAGTGTTCAGTGAGTATTCCTTATGTCTGCAAAAACATCTAGTGTGTTATGCACCTCTTCTCGCAAAACGTGCTGCGTAACGCGAGAATTAACCTCATTGGTTCTTGCACGTCAAGCGAACATGCTTGAGCTTCTGCAACTGATGTGTTGATGAATGTGAATAAAATCCTAAATTCAGTCTGTTCATCACATAAAGCGATCGTGTCTCTTCAGAGAATTTGGACCAAACCGATCAATTCATGTGGATTAGTTTTACGTTCTCTTTATGAACTTTTTGAAGCGTCAAAGAAGTTGTAGTTGCGTATCTGTCAGAGGATGGACAGAAATCGATCAGATTTCATCAAAAGATCTTCAGTTGGGTTCCGAAGATGAATGAATGAAAGTCTTAGGTGTCTGGAACGACATGAGGGGGAGTAATTGACTGTTCGCAAAGACCCGCCCCCCTTTAGTTACCGTTGCAATGTCCGACAAGCCACGCCGCTGTCACGCCACACCATGTTCTCACGCAGTGAAAAATACATCACTGAGTAAAGAGTCAAATCCACCGACGTTAATCTACTAACTTTCCTGACTGCTTTGTTGGACAAAAATGGTGGATTCGGCGGATGGCGGATTATGATTGGTCAAATCTCATGTCAATCAAACTCCCTGCTAACCCTTTAAAACGGTCCCTAATTTAACTAAGACTGTCTCCTGGTTTAATCTAAGCGCTGTATATAAAACCAGGCCATAGTGTTTTTAACTGAGACTATTTATAAAGCTTAGAAACGTGTTTCCTTTTGGCACTGAATCCAAGTTCAATGCTAATGCATGACTTTTCCTCCCACTTAAAATATTCTGAGCCATTTGAAAGAAAAATAGTCAGGTGTCTAGGAAAAAAATCTTATATTTTAGCTTTGATGGAATTGAACATTTGCAAAAAAGGTTACAAATTCCTATGCCTTTGTTCGTCATGATTGAAGAAATTCTGTAATGCTGAATTTGTGCAGTTAGCAACCCTGTTAAAGGTGCATTAGGAGCCATTTGTTGAAAGTGGAGGTGGAAAGTGTTTTGTGAGAGCATTCATTCATAATAAAGGGGATCCTTTGTAATTGTTATTTAGAGAAGTAAGAAAATGGCTTTTGCGAACCGTGTGGGAGTGAGTCATTAATTAACTTTCAGCAGGCTAATGAAAGACCTCTAAGGAAAGAAACACACTAATGAGATTAACAACGGTGTAAATAAATTAACTTCAGCACAGCCCTATCAGTCACCATTGCCGCTGACACCAATTGCTGTTGTTTAGCAAAATCACTTCACGTCAGTCTGGCTCTTCTACGGTCTGTTATCATTGCCCTTCTATTGGCCTTTTCTGTATTTTAATAGAGATTTCAAATATGAGCAAAAAGCACTCACTTGTAAGGTTTATGATTGCACAGCCATATTCACTGAACAGATGGTGAAATGTACCATCTCTGTCATATCACTATGCCTATTTATACTTACAAAGCTATTAATAAATTGACATATGTAAGAGTGAGACTTAAATTAAGCTAAATGAACAGGCTTTGTGTGGATTGTCGAAATGTAGGAAAGGCTATAAAGCGGAAAACTGGACCGAAATGACATCTTTAAATTGCTCTCGTCTACAGCGACCACAATTTCAGCTTCATTACCACACCTCTCACCCCTTAAATTATATTATAGAAATGACAGGACAGAAAATGTGAAGTAAACAATACAGTTTGTAACATTTTGTATAAGTTGCATATCAAACAGTGCAGATATTCAGACGAACTCATCGATTTTAGGCTGCTCACGATTCCCCAATGCGTTTGTTTTAGCTTTTTATTTAGATACATTTAGAAGATGACATACGAAAGGTTAGGTTCGTCTTTTATAATATACAGGTTTTTATCTAGTCTGTCCCAAATTGTAGTACATTTGAAAAGGTCAAAGGTGCTTGGATGGCATACCATATTCAGGTGGATTATTCAGCACTACCTTTTTGGGCTACGACTGGC